CTTAACGATCTTATTAAACAATGTCATCATGAAGAATATCGTCTTTATCATCGTGCTGTTAAATATTTAGATAATACAACAAATTCCTTACAAAATAATCGATTAATAAATGAACGTACAACATCAAAGCCAACATTATTTTCTTCAGAACGTATTATAAAACAACCTCAAGCATTAACTGTATATCATTTTAATGCTCCAACATTACCATCTACACCATCACAAACATATCGATATCGTATGAAAGAAAAATTAAATAATACGGATCTTTCTTTAGTAACAAATCAATATCTTCAAAGATCAAATTCATTAGAACGACAACCAACAGTAATGAGTTCTCGTGATAAACGAATACAAGAGTCACGTGAAAAAATTTTAATGCATACAGAAAAACAAGTATGTAATTGTAATAAATTAACTATCATAGATCCATTTAATTCGGAACAACAACAACATGAATCAATATTACCTTTAACAAAACAACCTTCAGCTAGATATATATTTCCACCTGTACGTCCATTTGGATATTTTACAAGAAAATCAGCAGATAATATATTACCTTCAACACCATCATCTATTAAACAGAAATATATACTAAAGAAAAAACGACAAAAAATTACAAAAGATTCCTCAGAATCACTCAATCAAGTTCAATCAGATGATGATGATAATTCACAATTATTTAATGATACAATTAAATCATTGATTAGTTTTAGTGATGCTGATGAGGATTCACAAAATCCACCAAATACAAAAGTTAGTTTTGATTTAAGACAAGATAAACGTTAATAATGTTTTGTTTTTATAAGCATTATCTTTATCGTTTATCATTAAAAAAGAATATAAATAAACCAGTAGTTTATGCCGAATATTTATCATATTCAATAATTCGTATAAATCAATTTGTTTTCTTACTATTAATTTTACGTATCATTGCATTTATTAACCTACATTGATATAAATATCTATTTTTTACCTTTCACCTTTCATAATTTTTATTCCTTATAATTATAAAAAACCCAACCACGTATTTATATATATATATATGTAAAAAAATTCAATTGAGAATAAAAGCACCAATGAAAAAAAAAACGAACTAATACACAATTCATCAAAATAGAAGACGCAACAAAAACAAAAAGTACCTAAATCATAAAAATCAAATAAATAAATATGAGTTCATTATCTTATTGTTGTTAATTGAGATGTTTCATAATCAGATCTAAAAAAAAAATACAATTAAATGAAATATTATTCATTCAATTATTTCTTTACTCATAAACCACATCTTCCTCTGAATCATTTAACATAGAAAATGTTGAATTATAACGAAATAATGATTCGATGGTTGTATTTTTAGCTGGTGAATATACATATGCCATTGTATATAAATAAATATTAATTAAACTATAAAATAACAAAAATTCCATCGAATTATTATAACATGTTGTTAATTCCGGTACAAAATTTTCTTTAATAATACTCGAACCAAATCGAAGTACTATAATAATCATTGAAATTAATATAACACAAATCATTAAAACCGTTGTAAATTTTAATCGAACATCTAGAAAAAAAAGTTTTCTTACAAAAATTTTTATATTCAATAATAATAAATACACACCAAAGTAAGGCATATTACGAAGTTCACTATATGCTCGAATAATCAAAAACAGTAAATACAAAACATAAAATATTCCAACTATATAAAATATAATATGAAATATCTAAAGTTATTTAAACAAAAAAAAAAAAACCTTTTTTTTTGCTAATAATAAATCGTTTTCTTACAGTAAATTGTGTTATATCAATAGTCATATTATACATTGGATCATGAAATTCTTGTATAATTCGAAATGATGAAAATACAATGGAAAATATCCATAGAATACTTACAAGAATTATTTTCGGTAAATAAAATGGAAGAAATTGGCGGACATTCTAGAAAATAGCAATTTGATAAAATATATCGAAAAATCAAAGTCAAATTTCAAACTTGACGAATGCCATGATAAAAACTAAGCCAAAAAAGTAATAAAATACAAAGAAAACTGATTTGTAAAATTTTGTCAAGAATTGATAGAAATAAATAATCTGATAAAATTATTAATAGATAAAATGGATCTATGAAATGATATTGGTTATTTAAAAAGAATAAAATTTTGATTTACCATTATAAAAAACGAGAAATATGAGAAGAAGAACTGTCCATTTTTGTTCAAGTGACCAATCGAGAATAGAAAATTGATGTATTGATTTTATAAAGAGCCACTAAAATAAATATAATTTTATCAAATCTATTTTCTTGACGACTTACTGTAACTGTAATAGAACATATTAAAATAATAAAACGAAATATAAGTTCAAATTGAATATATTTTGGATTGAATGTATTTAACTATAAAAAACCATTCGAACGAATATAAACTACAAAAGAAATGAAAAATATCTAACGAAAAGTTGTATATTTCTTATTTTATGTTCATCAATTTCATTAAATTGAATTTTAAAATAATATTTATTTTCATATAAATAATTTAAATGGAATAAAATCAGTTCATTGCAAACCTAGAGATAAATCATAAAAAAAACGAGATTAGATAAAGAAAAAAAAGGACCTTCACGTCCTCTAACCATTTCTAATTTAACCTCGTCCTCATTTCTTATATTCACTCAAGGTATCCAGACCAATCAATGTCATTTTTTTTCATTTGTCAACTAATGAATCTATTCTTAATCAACCTTCATTTTTTCTAATGAAGGTCGCACGTTATATACATTTAATATGCGCACACACACTTCCACGCTCTTATTCAACTATTCATTGAAGTGTAACAAGGACACTAATCACGTACAATCTCGTAACATCAATTGTACAGTACGATTATGTCATGCGAAACATGTTTTAAATTAGAACAAATAAGAAAAGAAAAGGGAAAGAGCAAAAAAAAAAAGAAGAAAAGTACGGAATATGGATTTATTTTAATAAAATGAAAATGAAATTTAATAATAGACACCTGCACAATACAACATACAAATACGGACAAAAAGACACACCTATCTGAACATTTACACATACAAAGAGAGACGAACAAGACGTAGGCACACAAATATGAAAGACGTAAGACGATGACAAAAAATAAAATAATGAAATTGTAAAGAATATGAAACGACGTAAAATAAAATGAACCAGTACAAAATGTGTGTAAAATGAGATTTAAATGAAAGACCTCAAATAGGGTAAAAAAAAGAAAAAAAGAGTCGTTTGCAACGCTCATAGATCTAGATGTGTTTTTGACAAGTGGTGTGAGCACTTCTTGTCGTTCTGTCTGTTTGATGAGTTTATTCATTCGGGTAGCTGATCGATCGATAATTAAATTTAAAATGTTCGACCAAAGCGACCACGAGCGATCGTAGGTCCATAGCCACCCGCTCCGTAACCAAGTGTAGATCCATATCCTAAGCCACCACCTCCGAGGTAATCGTCTGTGTACGGATTGAGGCCACCACCAAGTGTTGTTGTCGTCACACCAAAACCAATGGGTACACCACACATAGGACCAAGTCCACCCAATCCTCCAAGTCCACCCATTCCTCCGAGGCCACCAAGTAAACCTAAGCCTCCCATACCACATAATCCTCCCATGCCACCTAATCCTCCTAGACCACCGAGTCCACCAATACCAGCACTAGAAAAAAATAGTATGATTATAAAGAATTAAAAAACTTATTCATTCAAAATGTTTACCCATATGCGCCAAGACCTCCACCCATCATTCCACTGGCTCCACCCATTAATGGAGCACCGTAACCTGCCAATCTATGGAATGCAAAGAAAAATTATATTGATACAAAAAGTGACATGAGAAAAATAAAAATAAAGAATCACATACCCGCCACCGAATGAAGCACAGGGATTGGACATAGGCATAGGCATAGGCATGCATGGGGCAGGCATAGGCATAGGCATAGGCATAGGCATGCATGGGGCAGGCATAGACATTGCAGGTGCTTGTTGAGGTACAGGCACTGGTACAGGCACAGGTACACATTGAGATGGACCAGGTACAGGAAATGGAACTGCGCATGGTTGTGGAACTGGAACAGGGCATGGTTGAGGAACAGGCACACACACGCACTAATAAAACAAAAGACATAATGAAAAATTCATGATTATGTTCTGTTCATTATTGTTCTGATCGTCATGCAACGAAACGAAAAATCAACTATTGATAACTTACTTGAGGAGGTCCTTGAACAGGAACTGGTACAGGACACATTTGAGGAACAGGAACAGGGCATGGTTGAGGTACTGGTTGTGGAACAGGGATACAACTGAAAATGAAGAAACAAATAAAATTATTTGTAATGATGAATTGTCTTACACAGGTTGACAGATAATACGTTCGTAAGGTACAGGAACTGGTACTGGACATGGTTGAGGAACAGGTACAGGTACTTGCTAAAAAATGACAGGACAAATTAGAAGATAAACAGTCAGAATAAATAAACATTACTTGAATTTGACCTGATGGAACTGGAACAGGTATGCAAACTGGTACAGGTTGTCTAGAAAAAGACAGAAAAGCAGAGATCATTTTATAAAAGTTTTGACTTTGTTAACGAATAAAAAATCATAACTTACGGTACAGGTATACATTCGCGTACAGGAAATGGAACAGGGCATGGTTGTGGTACTGGTACAGGAACTGGAACAGGGCATGGTTGTGGTACAGGTACTGGAACATGTTGGATAATAGGCGGTGGGGGTGGAAGAGCTTGCATTGGTGGTGGAAAACATGGCATTTGCATTTGTGGCATTGGTGGAGGAAGACATGGCATTTGCATTTGTGGCATTGGTGGAGGAAGACATGGCATTTGCATTTGTGGCATTGGTGGAGGAAGACATGGCATTTGCATTTGTGGCATTTGTGGAGGAAGACATGGCATTGACATTTGTGGCATTGGTGGAGGGAGGCATGGCATTGACATTTGTGGCATTGGTGGTGCAGCAACACATGGATTCATACCACCGAATGAAGCGCCACCAGCAAAAGAAGCACCGCCGAACGAAGCTCCACCGGCATAAGGAGACATACCACCAAAGCTGCCACCACCTATTCCACCGTATGGTAATGCAGCTTGTCCAAAACCACCAAAACCACCCACAGGAGCACCATATGAACTTAATCCACCTCCAAGTCCGCCACCAAAGCTGCCCATTCCAGCACCACAGCCGCCGAAACCGCTCATGGCACCAGCACCTAAACCGCCCATTGCACCACCTCCAAAACCGCCCATTAGACCGCCACCATAACCGCCCATTAGGCCGCCACCATAGCCGCCCATTGCACCACCACCATAACCGCCCATTGCTCCACCACCGAAACCGCCCATTAGGCCACCACCGTAACCGCCCATTGCACCACCACCATAACCGCCCATTGCACCACCACCATAACCGCCCATTGCACCACCACCATAACCGCCCATTGCACCACCACCATAACCGCCCATTGCACCACCACCATAACCGCCCATTGCACCACCACCAAAACCACCAGCACATGGACTTCCACCATATCCTGCTAAGCCTGCACCACCAAAAGGTACACCACCAAAGCTTGCACCGGCTCCGTAGCTGGCAATACTGCTTAATTCTGCTCCACCGAAGCCACCACCATAACCCATTGCACCTGCGCCAAATGCTGGAGCTGCACCAAATCCTGCACTTGCACCAAATGCTGGAGCCGCACCAAATCCTGCACCGAAGCTTGGAGCTGCACCGAAGCTTGGGGCTGCACCGAAGCCTGGGGCTGCACCGAAGCTTGGGGCTGCACCGAAGCTTGGAGCTGCGCCGAAGCTTGGAGCTGCGCCGAAGCTTGGAGCTGCACCGAAGCTTGGAGCTGCACCAAAGCTTGGAGCTGCACCGAAGCTTGGAGCTCCACCAAATGCTGCACCTGCACCAAAGCTTGGAGCGGCACCGAAGCTTGGAGCTGCACCAAATGCTGCACCTCCACCAAATGCTGCACCTCCACCGAAGCTTGGGGCTGCACCGAAGCTTGGAGCTGCACCAAATGCTGCACCTCCACCAAATGCTGCACCTCCACCAAATGCTGCACCTCCACCGAAGCTTGGGGCTGCACCGAAGCTTGGAGCTGCACCAAACGCTGCACCTGCACCGAAGCTTGGAGCTGCACCAAATGCTGCACCTCCACCATATCCGCCAAATCCAGCACCGGCGCCAAGACCTGCACCAAATCCGGCACCGGTAGCAAGACCTGGAGCTGCACCACCGCCAACCTCAAAGCAGAATGCATTTGGTGGAACACCAGGTGGTGGTGGTACTTGTTGTGGAAATCCTTGTTGTGGAAATCCTTGTTGTGGAAATCCTGGTTGTGGTAATCCTGGTTGTGGAAATCCGGGTTGTGGAAATCCGGGTTGTGGCAATCCTGGTTGTGGAAATCCTGGTTGTGGCAATCCTGGTTGTGGAAATCCTGGTTGTGGCAATCCTGGTTGTGGAAATCCTGGTTGTGGCAATCCTGGTTGTGGAAATCCTGGTTGTGGTGGATACATGCCTCCACTTGCTATACCTTGTGCATTTGACGCACTATAACCGAATTGAGTACCGGCAGCTTGTGGTTGTGGTCCTTGATATCTTTCATAGCCAGTTAGTCCATAACCTTGAGGTCCTCCTTGTTGAGTACCAATAGCACTACTTGAATTGTAATAACTACCTCCACCACTATATCCTTGTCCTGATTGTCCGTAACCAGCTCCATAGGCACCACTGCCAGCTGCTGGTGCATTTGCACCACTTAAACTTCCATATTGATTTAGTGTCTCTTGTTGTTGATGTTGATAACCTTGTCCACGTGGTGGTACACGAATTACTTTGCGAACGACTTGTGGTGGTCCAGATGGTTCAACAACAGTACGTTCTTGAACACGAGGTGGTGGTGTCATCGGTTCTTCAATAATTTCTTCTACGATTTCACCTGGTTGACGACGAATGTAAACACGTTCAAGAATGTCTGGTTCTGGTGTAGGCATTCGATGTCGAACTTGTCGTACAGCACCTGGCTGATCTGGTAAACGAATGGCTTGACGACGAATACGTCCTTGGCGACGGCGAAGATACATATCGCCTGAATTATCATAGCCACCTTCACTTCCATAATGAGATTCACCATAACCACTGTAAACTCCGTAACCTGCTCCACCACCAGCACTGTATTGTTGTTGTTCATAATAACCAGCTACGCCACCAACAGGTGCTGCTGTACCATATGCTGTTGCACCAACTGTTGTTGCACCAACTGCTGTTGCACCTACTTTTTGAGCATTAGTACCAGCAGGATAGCGTTTATAATCATAAGAACTTGATGAACTTGAAGTTGACGTCGTTCCAGAACTTTTACCATTGTTCTTGTGAACAGCACCACTGCCATTTTGTGTATAACCACCTGCGACCCCGCTGCTGCTTCCTGGTTGTCTGGTTGACGAAGTATAAGCTGTCGTTTGTTGTGTATATTGATTGTAAGGACCCATTCCTGTGTGGGTTCACTCAAACTATTTATTTTTTATATGTATGAGTGTGTTAGAGAATATAAAGGGAAGACTGAAATACAGCACAAGCTCGATTGCTCTATGTATGTGTGTGTATATATATGATGCAACTTTTTTGACAACGACTCGACTCGTCTTTACTCTCTCTCTTTCTGTGACCAACAAAATAAAATTGTGCAATCAAATCGTTACGGTGAAAGATTTTTTTTTCTTCTCTTTCTATGTCTCTTCTTCGTCTTCTTCTTGTTCACTGTATATGTACAGATGAACAACCGTGGAGATGGACGAAACAAGATTGATATCTTCTTTGTGTTAGTAATAGTAATAGTAAAAAAAGTTGAAGTTAAGAAAAGGGTAAAGTAACAGAGAAAAAATATTTCAAAAATTCAAAATCTCAAGACTCTTACCAGTGACTTTTTAGACGTTGGGTATTCTGTTTCGGCGAGGACGATCAAGTGAATGTGAATCTGATTGATAGAAAGCGTTTGTATTTATACGACACACAGCTTATGACCGTGAACATCCTTCTCTCTTGCTTCTTCATTATCTTTTTTTTTTGTGACCCTGATTGGTCTCGTAGCAATGAGTATGCAAAAAAAAATGGATTCAAAAAAAAAACGAAGGGCATTCATATTCATACTTGCTCACTCGAGCACGTCAAGGTTTACGGACACAATTGAACGCATAGAACAGCATTTTGACCATAGCCTTGTTTATGGATGAATGATATTGATGCGAGAAAAGAAGCACCCTTTTTTCGCAATTAGAACGATGTACGTGTAGTTGCGCGATCGATTTGATCGATTTCAATCGCAAGTATAACACGTGCTCTGCTCGAGCGAGCACACGCTTACGCGACTTTGAGCGAAGATGTAAGCAAGCAACGATGAACACATATACGTACGCAAAGTTGATTGATGAGACAGTAACGATGAACGAATAGAACATGAGCGCATAGATAGATTACGAGAGCATAATATACATACATTCTTTCGAATATATATATATATATATTCAATGTTATATGAGCACAGACGATGATTTCACACAATGAAAGAAATAAGAGTTAATTTAAATCAGTTTTTTTTGTATCGAAAGTAAAAACTACGAACAAAAAAGAAAAGAAATGTTTCATAACGAATGAATATGAATTAAATTAATAATGATAAGAAAAAAAGAGTTAAACTCAACTAATATTAAAACATTATCATCAAATTGATCTTCGATATATGATATACATATTCGAAAGCTATCTGTAACGCACATCCAAAAAAAAAATCTCACGTATGTTTTATCCTATTATAATAAACCGATACTAGTCGATTCAATCGATCAACAAATCAAAACTACTATCAAAAGTTGAAAAATATATAATGATGACTGAATTTAATTTCTAATGTTATCGATCGAAAAAATTTTATATACAATCAATTCTAAATGCTTATTCATCTTCGACTATTATTACTATTACAACTAATTTTCTGTTTTATGCTAACCTGTTTTTGACAATGAATAATTCGTTGATGAATATAAACTCGAGCATTTGATGATGAATTGTTCACAGAAATATTCACATTAATTAACTGATGAAAATCATCTAGAAAAAGAAAAACAAACAAATGAATTTATTTTAATGTTAACTATAGTTCTATATATATATATTACTATTGATATCAGTCATTGTTTTCATTGATAACCAAAGACGTTGATGAACATATTCCGATTGTAATTCATACGGATCAAACTAATCAAAATAAAATTATTAAACAATAAATATTTCTATTTAATTTATTTTACTAATTGTTCAGTTAGATTTTTAGATTTATAATCAATCAATTGAATAACTGATGGACCAACAGTAGTAATTAAAATAATTATAAATAAACAAATAAAAAATAAAACAAATACAACGAAAAATTGTCGTTTGTATAATGTATATAAACGCATTTGTATTGATCTAAATGAAAATATTTTTCTTTTTAATTAAATGAACAATTTTTTTTTTAATTTAAAAGAATCTGATAAAAATAAAAGAGTTGAATTGCTTGACCTTGGTAATACATAATATTACGATAGAAAATTTAAATATTTCAATTTAAGTTCATTCATATAAATTGATAACTAGTTAGTGAAAGAAGTTTATGGAAAGTCTTATTTTTTTCTCAAACGAATAATGTAACCAAATACAAGTATTAAGAGAGAAATTATGAGACCATCCAATATATGAGACATTTGAATAAAAAAAATGTTGTCTTTTTTTTCTGTTGACACCTGAAACTATTAAACCCCAAATTTTAGTGTTCAATATAATTTTTTTTCAAAAGTTAATCAATACCGACTTTTTACCATTATCATATCCTTGTGAAAAAAAAACACTGTAAAAGTTTTACTTTTTTTTCAATTCAATGAATCATTCAATATTTTTTATACATTAAACTGAAAGATAGAGTATTAAAAACTGAATAAAAATAAGCTCTATCAATATAATACAGTGTTGATCGGCTAATGTTCTATACAACCAATACGAATGACAAATGACTCTTTCGATGACTTTATAATGTTCATTTGATAAGAATCTGTCTTCTATTGAGATTCAGAATCAAAAAGTTCGAAGCTGAATTTTATATGTTATTCAATTTTTTATTCTCTGCAAAATCATTAAAAAAAACTATTCAAAAGTAAATGATACCTTCGGGGCGAAATGGGGTTCACATTTCTGTCTTAGATAATGATTTTTCAATAACCAAGAAAAAAAAAACATTTTTAACGATTTTCATTGCCATGACTGATATACAAAGCAAAATAAATGCAATACTCGCAATCAAAGTCAAAAATTTTCATTAAATCAAATATATTTTAGAGAAACTTTTTTTTCTTGAGAAAAATTCATCAGTAGTCCCTCACGGCTCTATTCTATTAAAACTTTCACTTATGATGCTCCAACGGTGTATTTTTTTTTTGCAGGAAAAAAAAACTTCTCTAAAATATGTTTGATTCAATATAATTTTTGACTCTAATTTTGAATGTCACACTTATTTTATTTTACAACTGTGTCATGACAATGAAAATCGCTAAAAATGTTCGCTGTTGAAAAATTCATTAAAAATTAAGATGTTCAAGAGAGATGTGAACCTCATATCGCCCCGAAGGTATCATTTATTTTTGAACACTTTTTTCATCGTTTTGTAAAGAATAAAACGTTATATAGCATATATAAAATTCAACTCGGAACTTTCTGACAAGAGATAGATTCTTATCAAATGAACATTATAGACTCATTGAAAGAGGCATTTTTCGTTCATGATGGCCTTATAAAACTCGAGTTAGTCAATTAATGGTCAACGTAAGAAAGAAATACGTATATTGCTCCGACATTACAAAAATAATCGAAATAAAGAATTACCGCCTGAAGTTTGCTTTAACAACAGATTTCATAGTACCTATTATATCCTAAAATTTTTACTTGGAACAGTAGCTTCTCCTCTAAGATAACACGTATATAAAAGAACATAACATTCACACAAAAGATTCCAGAATAGTCGATTTTTTTAGGGATCTCATACCTTACCAAAAAAACTCGTATGTTTCAATTTAAACTTTCAGTGTATAACAAATACTATAGTATCTATTAACAAGGAAAATTTCAGACCGAAATTCTTTATTATGATCTGGAGTATGATGAAAATTCAATAAAATGATAATAGCTCGAGAAACAAAGTCTAAAGAAGTGTCAGTTGAAGAATATAAAGAAGAAATTAAAACATCCTTTACGAATGATATTCGATTGACATACATCGAATAAATTTTCTAGACTAAGTAAGTTAAAGGTTAAAATTAATGTTCAATAACTAAATTATTTAAAAAGTTTATTTTAATTTCTTTTGTTTCTTAAGTGATAATTGAAAATTATTTTGAAACACTTCACATAGACGTTTCTTCCTTTGACAACAAGTAAAATTTCTTTCATGATATCAACAATAGTATTTTTTTTAGATTATTCGTATCATCTATTGGAATGATTCAAAGCGAAAATATTTCAATGATTTTATCGTAGTATTATTTATCATTCAGTCCTTATGAAGAACAAAAGTATAACTTTATTTCTGGGATATACACTTCAATTCAATTGACTTTATATTTCAAAAGAAGTAATTTTAATCAATAAGACATATAGACAATGCATAGGTATTCATTGCAATTAGCAATCTGCTACTATCATGACGCGATGAACTATGTAAGAAGTTGTCGATGCCGCAATGGTTTATGAGAAACTCTTCCAAAGTCTCTTTCACTACTGTAATAAATTAGCACAGTTAGATTGAATCCATCAAGATTCTGACTGTTGAACTTGTAGTCAGGTGTGTTTCGAGGACATCAAGATGAGAGAAGAGGGGTGGTGACGAATTAGCTGATAGAGTACTCTGCTATTAGTCACACAAACTGGGTACATATTCATGCAATTTTACAGTCTGCTTCAAAAAAACTGCGCCTGTCTCAATGATATTTTTGAAACATATTCTGCGCTGTCATGAACATCTCTGAATCAATGCAGATCTGTTCGCATTTTTTGATTTGACATAGATCGATATTTTTATTATTCTTTTATAAAATTTTATTTATTTTTTATCTACTTACCGTTCAATTTCTTTTGTTTCACCCATATTCTATCAAATCAAAACTAAAAACTTTAGATCTGAAAAATTATAATCATAAATTTTCTTCTTTTTTTTCTTTAATTACAAACAAAAAATCGAAATCATATCATGTAATAAAAAAAAAAAGACAAAATATTTCATTTTAAAAAATTCTTTCTAAAGTTTACTTTTTTCTATTAAATCTTTTTTTAACCATGAAGGTATTAGAAATGTTTGTTTATTATTATGAATCATCTTATTTATAGCTTCATATACTTGTCCATTATTATTTCCTAATACTGAATTAAGTATATGATCAGGTGGTGCAAATACATCGACTAATGCAACAATATCATTACGTAATTCATGACATAAATCTAATAGACGTGTTTGTATCCATTGATTAATATGAACATTTTTAATATAATTGCCTTCGAATAAAATTCCCATATATTCTTCAAATAATTTTAATATATGTACGATTAATAATTTTTCAAGAATTTGTTTACATTTTTCATCCATATCATTGTTTAATTGAAGAAATTGTGAAAAACGAATAATAGCTGTATGCTTGAATGAAATTTAAAAAAAAAAATTTATTTGATTTTTTTTAAAAAAACGAAAAGTTTTGTTTTACTTGAATATAAACAATAGATAATGTTCGAAGATGATAAATTTGTGCCATATTTTTTAAATCAAATGATGACAGATTTGTTGTTAGTGTTAATTGTTCAAGTTTTCGATTTGATTTATCAACAATATAACATAAAAGCCAATCGATAGTATCGAGTAAGTCTATGAAAAAAACAATGTTCAATTTCTAATTTTGTTTAAATCTATTGATACAAACTCTGATAGACTGAAATTTGTAAAAAAAAAAATATGAAGAGTTTTTTTTTGTAACATAACTTTTTGATTTTTAAATTCCTATGAAATGATAGGAGACAATGCATTTGTTTGTAGAATTTGATTGTATTGGCAAACGGTGTTAATTGATTAAGGACGATAGAGTAACAATAGACATTCCTTTTCCAATTTATTACAATTGAAGCGAATAAAAAATAAGCTTGTATGACTTTAGATGGATTTTTATGATTATTTCTCACTGGATGGAATTCTACATCGGTTCTTCTTAGGTTTTGATGAATACAATCGATGAGTCGAGCATATTCGAGATTGTTTACTGGTTCTATTCTAATATTCTTTTCAGGACATAGTTCACACAATTAGATACAATAAGATTTTGTGTTTTTCTTATCCGATTCAATTGAAAAATATCCGAACAGTACTATTATTATATTAATAGTATTAAAATTAAAGTGTTTCGCACCAATATCATCACATTTCTTTAAAATATTTTTTCAATTTAATTATAATACAAAAAAAACTTGTTGTTTAAAATACATTTTTTATAATTTTATCTCAAATAAAACTTCAATTTCTGATTCTCTCTATTGATTTACTTCTACTTCCTTGTATTAATTAATTGAAAACTACTACAATTCAGACTATATTCGAATGTTTGATTTCAGTGTTTTTGTCTATCTAATATAAATTTAATAGAATTATAACTGATTGTATTTTTTTATAATTCAATGTTTGTTCTTTACCTTTTATATGACATTCTGGTGTAATTGAACATTGATTATTTTGAAGAATAATATTTATTTTTTCTACAAAATCAGCACTATGAAATGGACTATTAACCGGTATATCTATTAATAAAACAGAACAAAAAAAAGTCACAATTATTTCATTCTTATAAAAATTTTTACTTTTCTTATATAAATCTTCATAATTCGATAAAATATAATTCGATCCTTGTTGTAATAAAATATTATTATCTCCTTCAAATGTACACGATGGATCATTATCATCTCTTATAATACCAAAACCACTCGCTAGAAGCAAAAAAAAGAAAACTCTAATCAAAATTTTAAATCTCATTATTTGCTTTTTTGTTAATTTACCATATAAATAACCATGACCACCACATGCTTCTCGACATTCTTGACATGCTTTTTGTGTATTCCATGTACATATAGCTTTGCATGTACATGATAAAGCATGAATCTCTCTACCCATATCAGCAAGTAAATCTCGATCATTTTCATCTGATGACATTGATAGTGCATAAAATTCAGTTAAATTATCAAATACAGATAATGCTAAATTTCGATAAATATAAAGTGATGCAACTATTGGAACTAAACGCCAATTCTACAATACAAAAAAAATCAAACTGTTGAATAGAATATTTGGAATAAAACTTTTTTTGAAAAGTACTGTTCTTCTAATTCCTATGTTTCAATT